TTAGCCGTACATGTTCATATCTTTGAAGATGTATCATGGGGGTGTTGCAACCTAGAAGACACAAATTTAACTAACAAGTTATAAGTACATGAGTCATGCATAGGTTACCTCTTGGATCAACACTCTTGAGTAGCTGTGCTTCCCCTTCAGGGCAAAAATCAGAGACCTTTAGCTAGGCAAAGAGGATCCTCCCTTAACAGAATTCACACAGAGTCTGTGAGTAAATCAGAAAGGTCCCTCGGTGGTACACATGGCTGGTGCTGTCGGCTAACTTAGTGGCTGCTCCTTCAAATCCACTCAGTGGCTAGGGAGAGAGATGGACTGGGGAAAGATGGGCAGTCCTCCAGGAAAGATTTACTGTTGTTAAGTGCCACTGAGTTGGCTATAGCTACCTGAGGAACTAGTTGACGGATCTTAACAACAAACAACAACAACAACAACAACAACGACGACGACGACGACGACGAGAGAACTCTGTTGGACAGAAAGTGATGCTACTAAGCCAAAGGTGTGTGATTTTACTCTGCGGCCCTCAGAACTGGTTTTAATTGTGGTGTTTTTTTTTTGGTCAAACATTCTTCTAAGTGGTATAGCACTGGTCTGTGCATTGCTGTACAGAGGTAACTCATGGTTGCTGTGATGCTAAACACTGTGACACTGATGCGTCAAATGTGATAATGGTTACCCAAGGTGAACAGTGTCTGGTGGAGCTCTCTGATTAAAACAGGCTTGGAAGCAGGCGTGGCATCCACTTCCGAAATAGCTTGCCTCCAGAAACCCTATGAACTTGGAAAGATGATGACAGTTATACAAGTGTTCAGGTCTTTTGTTCATAGGGTTGCTATGAGTTGTCTATGACCCAACGGATCTTATCAACAACAACAACCACTTAAGGAACAATGGATCTGAACTCTGCTCTATCCTGTGACATCTTCATCATCTTGAACACACCAAACCCACTGTTAGCCTCAGTTATTGATGGAAGGTCACAATGAATTAGAACCAAATTGATAGGGAGTAGGTTTTTATGATCTGGGATGGCTTGGGAGAAAGATCTTGGAAAATCCTATGGAGCAATTCTACTCTGCAGCACATGAGGCTGCCATAAGCTCACTTACAGAGGGGTTTGGGTTGTTCTCCACCCCCTTTCCCATGCAGACCATGGCACACAGTTCAGTGCTGGGAGCTCGGATCAGGGATCAGGTCAATCCTTGTTAGTCCCTCCCTGCTTCTTGATGGTCCTCTGCTTGCCTCTCTAGCCACCTATGTCTCCACTCCTCCAATCCTTTCCTTCTCATTCACACTCTTAAGTTTACCATGCCTCCTGGAGCCCTGCCTGGTCTTTATCATCATGTTATTGTATCCCTGACATCTTGAGTTCCTTCTCTGCCTTCCAGATTCATCTACCATCGTTCCCCACCCCCCTTCACCCCCAGCCTTTGCTGTCCCTCAGCTTGGGTCCGTTTTGCTTTTTCCGGCTTTCCGGTCCTGGATCCTAGCCCTTCTGTCACTGATACAGTTGCTGCTCGATTACTTGTCTAGATAGGGGCGTTCTCCAGGGAAAGGACTTGAAGTCTCATTCATAGAGCTTGGCACCAGTAGGTGCTCAGGAAGCGCGTGTTGAACAAATGGGAAGTGCAGGCATGTGAGGGAGTGAATGAATGAAAGCATGCAAACGGGCTCGCGGTAAGTAACAGGAGTTGCCCACCAGGACTGTGGTGGGCTCGCTCTCTCGTTCCGTCAGCCCCCCAGTCCCCAGGAAGAGGAGCTGGCTGGGGCTGGAGGAGGGGAGGGCGTCCCAGCTCCACCAGCCCGGAGAAAGGGATGTGGAGGGAACAGAGGCTTCAGGGGAGGGGCGTGGCACCCTTAGGCCCTGCTCCTTTCATGCCTTCACCCAAGGGTCTCCCGGAATGAGAATGGTCCCGGGCCAAGGCTGGAGCGCGCGGATGAAAGGGGCACTCGCACCGCGAGCGGAGCCGCCTCCCGCCCAGGCTGCGGAACCTGGCAGCGCAGGGGGGGTCCGGCCACTGCGGCGTCCGAATGCGCGACAAGTGGGGCCCTCGTCCCCCCCGAGCAAGGCTCCCCACGAGACACCCAGCCCTGCTGGCACCTTCCCGTCTCGGTGTGCGGTCCCCCCCGGGACTCTGGGGTCGGAACTTCGAATCCCTTTTCCTCTCTTTCCCCTCTTTCCTCTGGTGCTTGGTATGCCCCAGGGGACAGATGTCTTGGGATCTTTAACATTTGGGATGCTGCAAATGCCGAAGTTAAATGAAATACCTCCCGGGAGGGAGGGCCGGGGGAAGACTGGGGCAGAGAGAAGTTGGCCTGGGCAGACAGGTCCTGAAGCTGCGAGGCAGGAGCGGAGGGCGCGGGGCCTTTTGGGCTGCACCAGCGCTCCATGGGACAGGTAAGGGGAAAACTTAGGGGCACCCAGTACGGGTGGACTCGAGAATCAAGCCCCCAGCCCAGGATCTTCAACCCCAGTGGAGAGGGTTCTACAAGGAAGGGGGTGAATTTATACCAAGGTGGTGAGAATTTTGAGAGCTTATGCAAAAAAAGAAAATGCCTATTTCTGACTCCTCGACCTTTCTCCTTCAAACTTCTCCATGCCTGTGGATCCCAGGCCAGGTTCCGGAAAGCCTGAGTGCCGCCAAACAAAAGGAGCGAAGTCTCAGGCCAGCCTGGACGTGGAGGGCGCGGTGGGGGAGGGGAGCAGGGTGGACAGGACAAAGGGGCTTTTTAAAGAAAGCCTCGAGTCTGATTTCAGGGCGCATTCCAGGCTAGCATGGAGTTTCCCAGACCCAGCCCATTCCACCATCGCTTGGCCGTAGCAAACACCTTCGCCGGTGGACAGGGACAAGCGTCCAGTCCAGGAACTGCCCTCTCAGCACCCCCACCCCAATCACCTCCCCCACTCTCGGCTGGAGGGTCCCGGGACATTTCCCATCTTTCCCCCCACCCTCTTTTCTTATTTATCTTGTACCCTTCACGGTTGGCTCCAGCTGCATGACAAATGATTAGTTCATTAAGCAAAATTTGGGAAGTGCCGCACTTTCTTTGCTGGGTGCTGTGGAGACTGGAGATGGCGGCAGGACCAGACCTCTTGCATGCAAGAATTTACAATTCATCCTAGAGAGGGTTAAACCAGGCTACTCCTTGGAGGCAAAGATTCTGGGGCTTCGTCAGACATACTTTGGACATGTTGCAAGGAGAGACAGGTCTTTGGAGAGGAACATCATGCTGGGTGGAGTGGAGGGACGGCGCAGGAGGGGAAGACCCTCTATGAGGTGGATTGATTCAGTGACTGGGGTAATCGGGATGGGTGTGTCAGAGGCAATTCGATTGGCATAGGATAGAGCAGGGTTTAGGGCTGTTATACACAGGGTCGCTATGAGTCATAAATGACTCGACGGCACATAACAACAACAATGTCTCAGAAGAATGAAAGGAAGAACTTATTTAAAAGAGAGAAAAAAAAATCAGATTGCAAGTCTGTGCAAGGATTTTCTGATTTAGGGCTCTTCCTTAGAAAATGGAAACTCTTGAGGGAAGGTTGGGGACCAGATTTCTTGTACAAGGAAACCTCCAGTCCTCAGCAGTTGGTAGTCTTGGGATCAGGCCGTGTGGTCGTTGTTACCTGCTCTGGAGTGGAACCAACTCATAGCTGACCCTCCAGCAGGTTTTCAGAGGCTGTAAATTGCATGTCAGGAGCTTCTCATGTTCCTCTCTCTGATGCAGAGCAACTAGTGGATCCCAAGGGGTACCTTTTGGCAGCCTAACTCCATAATGGGAAATTAGTTCCCTCACCCTTAGCCTGAATGGGGTACCCCCATTCCCAAGCTCAGCTCTGGCATGTCCACTTCCTCCCTGGCATTCACTTGGATGACCTTGCCATTAGCTTGATCCAATGGAGCCTCTAGGTAGAAAGGCTGGAAGGCTGGTTTGCAAACCCCGTTTTAACCCTCCTCTTCAGATTCTACTTAGTTGAGAAATGGTGTGAATTTGAGAGTAAAGGTCCTTGAGAATTCCAGATCAATGCAATCAGTGAGCCTGACCATCTGTTATACTTACTCCTCACTCACTGACTGGCTTGTTATCAGACATTTCATATGTATGGAAATAGTTTAAAAAACCAACTACACGAGCTGACTGGGCTCCTCCCCGGCCCCACCTCGGCAGTTTGGGCTTGTGACCCTAGAACCCACTTTTTCGGCTCTCGTACTCCGACCTTCCGTGGCTGCAATGTGTTTCCTGGTCGCCACGTTTCTGTTCCTGGTGCTCAATGCCGCTTCCCTAGCAGAGCCCTTGAATTTCAAGGACTGCGGGTCCGTGGTTGGTGTTGTAAAGGAAGTGAATGTGAATCCATGCCCAACCCAGCCATGCCAGTTACACAAAGGACAGTCTTACAGTGTCAATGCCACCTTCACAAGCAATACTTATTCCCAAAACAGCACAGCCTCGGTGTATGGCATTATATTGGGTGTTGACGTTCCCTTTCCTTTTCCTGAGTCTGATGGTTGTAAGAGTGGCATTGACTGCCCCATCCAAAAAGACAAAACATATAGTTACCTGAATAAACTACCAGTGAAAAGTGAATATCCTCAAATAAAACTGGTGGTGAAGTGGCTACTTAAAGATGACAAAGGAAAATATCTCTTCTGCTGGGAAATCCCGTTAGAGATCATATCCTAGAGATATTCTATGCCAATATGTCTATGTAGGGTTGAAAGGGCATGATTGAGGGGAAGGGAACTGGAGGAGATATCAATTCAGAAATGAAATCAGTGCCATAAGAAGAAATGTCCAGATTACTGTTGTATGCCTTAAAAAATCTCCAAGACGCTTATGTCTCCTTTTGTAAAAAGGCTTGAGAAAAGGGTTGAAACTCTAGAACTCCAGAGACTATCTTGTCTTCAGTGTTCTTTACAGGTGTAGCAGAGGTGAGGACACAGGACCTGAGGCGATTGCTTAGGGATATCAGACAACATGCCTTTATTTCATTGGCCCTCACATAGGAGGACAGGTTTGAAATTGCATCTGTCCAGCTGGGCTGTTATACCCACAAATTCTTTGTCTTCAAGTGCCTCATTGAGTTCATGCATCTGGCCAAATCAACATCTCCAGCCCCATTGGTTTAACACTCACTGCATTGTCGCCCAGCAATTCACAGATACTCAACTCTGGATGGCTGATGGTTCACTCTGGTTGTCTCTTGTCTCCTTTGCTGCCTTAGATTTTTATTTTCTTATTATTACTATTATTTTTTTTTAATGCAGCACATGGTCAGATGTTTGGGGGTTTTTGTTGTTATTTTAACATTATTAACTTGTGGCATTGTTACACACCTAGAAATCTCTCTTTGAATAAAGACTTGCCAATTTTGTCTTCTGAAAAAAAAAAAAACAACTACACAATTATTTTGCACATTAATGATGTTGTATGTCTGGCAGGAATGAATGCCAATGTGTGCGGTGACAGCAGTACTGGTTGTGATGTAGTGATCTTCCCTTTTCTGAAGTGGGGCGGAGGATCTGATATGCTCATCCTCCATGTTCCCGGAACACTGACTTTTGCATGACAATCTAGTTTTTCAAAACAAACCCTGCCAGTAGCGAGGAGGGCATGTACTTCTCAGAACTCTGAGATGGGCTTATCCATGAGCAGGGATTCCTTTTTTAATGCGTCTCTGGGCACCAAAGTATCTGTGAGAGAAAAAAAAAAATCTTTTTCATTTTAACAGAAATTCAGCGTGGCCTTCAGTCTGGCCTTCAGTCAGAAAAGAAACATATCACAGCAATCCTAATAGTACCTGTGAATTTATCACTAATAGAAATCACAGATAACTACTATCACATATGCAGCTATCTCGAAATAGTATTTGCACTTACCGCGTCAATGCCATTACCATTGCTGTGAGGGGATCTCTCATGGCCTAGTGGGTGAGGAATTGTGCTGCCAACCCAAAGGCAGGTAGTTAAAGTCCACTAGCTGCTGCAAGGAAGAAAAAAATAGGTACTCTCTTGTGCCATTTATAGCCTCTGAAAACGTACCGGAGTGTCAGCTATGAGTGAGTTCCAACTTGACTGGCAATGAAAGAGGCAGACTGTTGCTACTACATCCATTGCTGTTGTTGTATGTGCCGTCAAGTCACCTGCCAGTCATAGCCAACCCTATGTATAACAACTCTGCTGTCCTGGGCTAGTCTCACTGACTCTAACAAACCAGCTCCCATTGCCCTAGTTACTTTATCAATCCATCTCCTCCGGGGTCTTTCCTGTGCTGTCCCTCTACCCTTCCAAGCATGATGTCCTACTCCAAAGTCCCTCCTGGCCATGTACCCAAAGTATGTGGGATGGAGCTTCAAAACGAGATTTCATTTAATGTTAATACAGACATATCATGGTTTTCTATTTTATTTTTATTTTGTTTAATAATTTTAATGAACATTTACAGAGAATTTGGATTTCCATTCATTCATTCATTGCTGCACTTCTCTCCCTGCCCAGCCCTCTCCCCCTGCCCTCTCTTTCAAAAGTAAAAGAAAGACTCCCTCCCTGGTACACAATCCCCCCACACCTCTCCCACCACCCCAAGTACATTCCACTATGCAACCTTAATTGTGGACTCTTGTGATAACTATAATACCCTATCATACATCGCTTCTAAATTATTCAGTCCCTCATCTGTTTCAGTGCAGTATACACAATTTATCCAGTTTTTCTCAGTCTTACCCCCACCCTGATATCAGTCCCATTTTACAGCAGTGGCACCATGTAATATTTGTCTTTTTGCGACTGAGATATTTCACTCAGCATAATGTCCTCCAGGCTCACCCATTTTGAATAATATTGAATGAGTTCCTTGTTTTTCAATGCAGCATAGTATTCCATTGTGTGAATATACCACAGCTTCTCTATCCATTCGTTTGTTGATGGGCACTTGGGTTGTTTCCAACTCCTTGCTATTGTGAACAGAGCTGCGATAAACATGGGTGTGCATATATATCTGCTTGGATGTCAGTTATGGTCTCTTTGGGATATATTCCCAGTAGTGGAATTGCTGGGTCAAATGGTATCTCTATTTGCAACTTTTTGAGAAAGCGCCATACCGCCTTCCACAGTGGTTGCACCATTTTACATTCCCACCACCAGTGAATAAGGGTTCCAGTTTCTCCACAACCTTGCCAGCATTTGTTGCTTGCTGTTCTGTTAAATTTTGCTATTCTGACTGGGGTGAGATGATATCTCATAGTTGTTTTGAGGTTTTCTATTTTTACAATTGTATTTCAACATAAATGACTCTTTCACTAGTTCTCAACTTTATCTCATACATTTCAAAGTAGGCGGACTATGCAATATTCTAGACACTTCCACCACCCCCACCCCGTACACCCTGGAGCTTAAGAAGAGGTAAAGTGTTTTAACTCCCCTCAGTCTGACACTGAAATTAGGTATTGCCTCTCTGGGGGGGGGGGGCGTCAGGGGTCGAGAGGGGAGGTGGAGGGTGCAGAGGGATGATACTGAGTGGAGGGCTGGGGGAAGGGCAGAGCTGCTATTTCTTTGAGAGACCCTGCTGGTGTCTGTCACAAGAAAGGGTTCTTAAAGTGACCGACCTGGAGGACTCTGGCTAGCATTGTTTGGAAAGAGGGTGTGTACAGGAATGCGAAGGTGTGCTCTGAGTGTGTGAATTTGTTGAGGGGCTGCTGGCAAAGAGGCGGAGACTGACAGGAGCTCTTCCCTGACGCTTAGAGGTAGTAAAGGTCTGAGTGCTGGGAAGTGGGGGCCTTTAGAGGTGGGGGCTGGAAAACAACCCAGCGCCTTGCTGAGGTGAGATCCAGCCTCTTGGGTGGGACCTCTGCAGGTGAAGCTGGGGTGAAGAGGGCTTGAAAGGGCTAAGAGAGAGGTGGTAGAATGAAGCCTTGAGGGTCAGGGTGTCTCCCATCCAAGTCTGTTGGGGACAGGTTAACCAGCAGCCTCAACCCCGCCACTCCCGCTGTGAAATAGGCTGGATTCTTCTTTTATTTTTGCTTGAGAGAGAACCAAGTGGGTAGGAGACCTGAGGGCTTATTGATTTATTCTGTTTTGGTCTGTGATCCTACATGTTTAGGGACTTAAATAACGCCTAGGGTCATAGTGGCCCTGCTGTGGAGGAATTAGTTCTCTAATTAGTGTCCCATAGGCTATGTAAACATTAAATGAGGAAGTTTGAATGTTGCTGCTCCTGGAGGGAAATGTCTGGGATAAAAGAGAGAACTTGGCCTTCTCCAGATCCCCGAGCCCGGTGTTGCTACCTGGCCTAAGTTTCTACACTATGTCCAGAGGACAGAGTATTCCCCTGGTGGTATTCTCCTTGCATCTGGGGTCTTTGCATACCTCCAGTCCTGGAAAGGAAACTGAAGTATGTGGAAGGCAGTAACTGACTAAAATAAAGCAATGGGGTGTTTGGGGACCTCACAGGCTGAGCTATGAGGGCATGATCCCTGCTACTTCTTGGGGTTCCTCCATGAGGCGCCCCCTTCTGTCTTCTCAGTCTCCGGAAGTGCAGGGGCCCAGGAGCTGCCTGCCACAGCCGCTGTGGGATTAATTCAGGGAAGGAGTTGCTCACCTGCTCCTCCCTCTGACTCAAGTCATAACTCGTAACCTGGTTCTCCTGGCCCAGCAGCCTGGGAGGGACTGCGGGGCGGGGCAGGCAGGCAGGCTGGCGGGCTAGGGGCAGCCATCAGAGTGTGGAGAGCATGAGACTGCTCTAACAAGAGCATAAGGAGGCCAGCCTGTGGCCCAGAAAAACCTCAAAGCAACATGCGTGACCCTTTGGGCCCCTGACCCACGAGTAGGAGTGTTTTCGGACTACTGGACCAAAGCCCAGAAGCAGGTGAAAATGGACAGGGTGGTCTTTGGAGCTAAGGGGCAGGCTGGCCTGGGAATACAGGGGAGCGTGGACTGTGGCTGCTCGTGACTGGGACAGAGAGGTGATAAGAAGCATGTAGCAACCTGGACAGAGGCCCAGAGGCCTGTCTCTGTGGTCTCCCAGGGAAAGGCACCGGCAGGGATGAGCTAGAAGAGAGAAGTCCAGAACTTGGCTTTGGGGGCACATCTTTGGCGAGGGTGGATCTCTTCAAGATAGGTACATTGGTTTACCTTTTCCTCCTTTTCTGGGGGCAGTATTCATCCAGGTGGGCTGCTTCTGAGGGCCCAGTCCTAGGGCAGACAGTAAACGGAGCTGAGGTGTCCCTTACCTCAGGGGAAAGGTAGGCTCAGGAGGGATTCCTGTGTTGAGGAGGTGAGGTCCTTACCTGAGTTGAAGGCTCTCCCCTCTTAGGTGGGGGTGGGGCCTGACAGCGGCCCTTGGACTCTGGGACAGGTCGCCTACAACTGAATAGGACCAGCTTTGTTGGGTATATGAGCAATTTATGGGGATTTTGTCCACAGGCCAGGGAACTGGAGGGGGCCTTTGCTGTCATCCCAGAGCCCAGTCATGTCTTGAGGACACTGTTTGGTTGTCATTGTGTATTTGAGAAGAGGGGGCTCAAAGAGGGGAGCTGACTTCCCTGAACTCCAACCTTGACTTCTAGATTTTGGTGCCTGTATTCTTTGCCCTGGAGCACCCCAGATCCAGAAACAAACTGAGACCACTGCACATACAGTGTCTCCCCGTCAACTCTCAAAAGAAAGGGTTTTGCCACCCTGAGGAAGCGATGTCATATGTGAGGAGTGGGGTACTAACGGGGTTATATGACCAGATCTTCCCCCATCTGACCCTGGGAGGCTCCTCTCCTCTGCTGTAAGCAAGGAGCCCCTTAGAAGCAGGACCTGAGTTGTTGCAACTTTCCAAGCGACACCTTAGAGGTTAATAATTAATTAGCAAGTGTGACCGTTGGTTAATGGCCATCCCCTTCCCCCCAGACCTGGGCCATCTTGTTACCTGAGACTGATCTATTTCCTTGGCCCTGACTTCTGGGCTCAGCAGGTTTGGAGGAGGGGTGAACAAGTTACTTCTCTGTTATGTTCTTATCGCTGGGGTGGGGAGCTGGTCACCCTAAGTACTGTGAGCTTCCTATAGCATAAGGCCAAATCTCTCTGGTATGTTTACAAAGGCTCCATATAAAACCATTTCTTTTTTTCTTTCATTTATTTTTTTTTTAAAATTCTGTTATTCATTTAGACTTCCTTGCAGAATTGATATCCTCAAAGCTCAAAGTGCACATTACTTTCAGACTATGTTTTAAATTGTTATTGCCCACAACAACAATTTGCTGTTGATGGCGCTGTGTTGTTTCTGTAGGTCTGTAAAAATTCTCAGCCAGGGCTGTTCTTTCCACCTCCACACACAGGCACTTCTGGGGACCTGGCTGACCGCAGTCCCCTTTTCCTCTTTGCTTTGTGACTAGTTTATCTGAGACCCATGGTTCTCCCCTGTTAGCTGAAAGCAGAGGGGTGAAGCCCCAGCTAGCCCCCTCTTTCCCTCCCACAGAGGTCTGTTTCCTGAAGAGGCAGGATAAACTCCAGACAGAAACTCAGAAGGACTTTTGGACTCTTGCTCAATGGGGCTGACTCAGTGAGGAGGTGGCTGGGCTCTCCCTCCTGCCTGGCTCCGCCCGCCCCTCCCCAGCCTGCTCCCCCAAGCAGCTGCCAGGCGTCCATCAGCTGGGACCCTGAGCATGGATGGGATTCTGTGAGAGAAGGGGCGGGCGGCAGGTGCGGTTTTGTTGTCTGGCTAGGTGAAGGCACGACTGTGACTGTTGTACCCCTATCACTCGAGTACCTTCAAGCCCCGGGGAAGTAGACAGAGGAGTCTATAGTCTTTCCTTGTCCTTGGGCAGTTTCTGCTGTAATGATACACCCTCAGGTCCCAACTGCCTGTGGAGTGTAGGGGAGCTAGGCTGCTTGCTTGCCTTTGAGGGGCCTCCTTGTAAGAGTTGGTGAATGGGGAGCTGTCTGAGTTCTGGGGATGGCTCTCTGGAATGCCACTGTTCCTGGCTTCAGAAGGTGAACCATTTGGTCCGGAGAGCAAGGCATCCTGAGTTAGGAGGTCCAGACCAGGCCTTTGCTGTCGTCCTTGAGCCCAGTCATGTCTCAGGAGCCCTCACCCACTGGGGCACAGGATGTCTCATGTGTCAGGTTCTCCAACTAGGAATACAGTCCACTTGTGCTGTCACATGCATTACAGGACTTGAGTCTCAAAGCTTTTATCTTGGAAGCAAGGCTATTGGGGGTGATGGGCTGGGTTGGGTCAGGTCCTGATAAGAGCAGGATTTGGGATGAGGAAGTCTACAGCTCACCAAGCTGGCAATAGGCCACACCCCATACACTCCTGGAAACTCCCCTTCACTTCCACTCCCCCTGCCCCCACACATCTAATTCCCAAGCTCTGTTTGGAGCACAGGGTCTAACATGGATTTTTTTTTTTTTTAATGGTGACTGTTCTCTAAAAGCTGGGAGAAGTCCAGGCGACCTACACTTGCACGACCTGGTCCAGACTGGGAGCCACATCACCATTTTCTGTCTGCTGCCCCCTCCCGGAAATCCACCATGGAGAGTAAGGATGAGGTCAGCGACACGGACAGTGGCATCATCCTGCAGTCAGGTAAGTGGTTGGGGAATGCCCGAGTGCTGACTTCCTGAGCCCCTCTGGCCTCAGACGGGATGGGGAAGGGTAGGTGGAATGGCAGAAGAGGGAGGCTTATTGGAGGTAGTGGAGATGCTGGAAGGATAAGAATTTACAGGACTAGTGATTTGTCTTCCCTGAGGTCTGGAGTTCAGACTGTGTCTGGAATTTTTTTACCTCAGGCCCAGTAGTTAGCAAACTGATTGCTGTCGACTCCATTTCTACTTAGTGCTGAAAAGTCTTATCTGGCCTGTGTAAAGCTCCCGTCTCCTCTCTGGTTGAGATGATGGGCCTGTTCTCATATATCCTTGGCAGGATAAGAGGGAAGAGGCGTATGTGTGTGTCTACAGATAGATTGAGAGAGACAGGAAGAGAAAGACAGAGACAAAGACAATGAAAGAGAGAAAATCAGAAATATGAGAGCAAGACACACACAAAACACAGTTGTGGGAGAAGTGAGATAGCTGGTTGAGATGCTGAAGAGACCCTTCAGGCCTTTCTCCCCACTGGCAACCTGTTCCTCAAACCTGTAATGTTGATACCTTGGACCACCAGGAAAATTGGTGTTCTATGGTTCTGACCCAGGGCAAGCATGAGAGTGAGTATGTGCTTGTGTGTGGGATTGTTAAGAAGTACCTGTGAGATGTTCTCCTGCCTTGGCCTCCCTGAGGGTATTGTTTCCACTGCTCTTCCCAGGCCCTGACAGCCCTGTCTCCAGGACCAAAGAGCTGGCCCACAAGGAGCTGGCCCACAAGGAGCTGACCAATGCGGTGCGGAAGCAGCAGCAAGCACTGGAGGAGCGGCTGGAGGCCTGCCTGGAGGAGCTGAGGAGACTCTGCCTCAGGGAGGCGGTGAGAGCTTCAGCAGGCACACACAAACTGGGGTCACTGCACCTCTGAGGATGTTAGGGCTGAGGCCTTCCCTGTCCTGAGGGAATCAGACCAGGGTACATAAGTACACCAGTACAGTACAGTACAGTACAGTACAGAGGCTATCTACGTGTGTGGCTCTGTGACCTGGGACACAGGACAGGACCGGAGAGGAGGAGAGTGAGTTAGGGGAGGAGAGCTAGTATAGGGAAAGAAGGACAGAGTAAATATAGATGCCATAGCTCTCTGTTGAAGGACCTTTGGTAGTGCAATGGTTAAGCATTTAGCTAACCAGAAGGCTGGTGGTGGTTTGAACCCACCCAGTGGTGCCACGGGAGAAAGCAAGCCCTGGCAATTTGCTTCCATGAAGTTTATAGCCAAGAGGGCCCTAGGGGACAGTTCTCCTCTGTCTCCTGGGTTGGATGAGTCGGAATTGACTCAGCAGCACCCAACAACAACAATAGCTCTCTGTAAGAGGTGAGTGGGAGAAGGTTGAAGGAAAGGGGAGACTGCTTAGCAATGAGAATTCACAGGGCGCCCCGAGGATGACTGAACCAGCCATGGGTGACAGGAGCGGGTGGAGGAGGGGCAGCAGTGCCACCAGCCCAATACTATGTACCAAGCTCTTTGGAGACAAGCCTCTTTCTTTATGATGTTGAGGCCAGTGGGCTGAGGGCTTGGGATGGTGGAGAAAGTCCTGACTTGATCCTGCTTCCGCTCCAGGAGCTGACGGGCACCTTACCAGCAGAATATCCCCTCAAACCAGGAGAGAAGCCCCCTAAGGTCCGTCGTAGGATTGGAGCTGCTTACAAACTGGATGAGCGGGCCTTGCACCGAGAGGTGAGGCCTAAAGGAAGCCGTCATCATTCCTCATTCCCCGAAGATACATTACTGTTCCTCATTCCTCATTCCCCAAAAGGTCCATCACCCAGACACTGACTCCCCAGTTGGGGGGTGGCACTTTGCCCAGAACCTTCTATCCACTGGGGACATTGGGTTTGGTTCCCAGTGGGCAGAAGCTCAGTTAAGAGCTGCAGCCACCAATCCTGAGAGACGATGGCCTGTCCTGACAGGTTACTCTGGCCCTAGGGCTGTTCTCTCCTCTCAGCATAGAAGCAAGCAGGTGGAGGCAGCTTGGCCTTACGGATGGCGCCAGTTCCTATGGGCAGCCACTCTCCTTACCTGCCCTGCCTTTTTGGGGTCAGGAGTGAAAGTGCTCCACTTTGATCCTGCCCTGCCTGGCTCTGCTGTGGGCAGGGTGGTGGCCAGGTTCCCATGCCTGCTTTTCAGGCTGATGGAGGTGGCTCAGGTTTGCTTTGGGGCACCTCCTACCACTCCACCTGTCGTCCTGTTTCACAGATACTTCTGTGTCCTCCTTAAGTAACTGACCCTTGAGCAACAGGTCAGGGCTGTTCCCCAGTGTCCCGTCCCCCCACCCCTGCTCCCGGAGCCCAGCGCCTCGCCCAGGCCTCATTCCAACTCCCCCCCCTCTCAGGACCCCCTGAGCAGCCTGGAGCGGGAGCTGGCCCTGCAGCTGCAGATCGCCGAGGCTGCGCGGCAGCTGTGCCTGGAGGACAACCTGAGCCGGCAGGCGCGCCGGCAGCGGAAGCACGCCATGCTGCAGGAGGAGAAGAAGCTCCGCGAGCTGGAGCGCTGCGTCGGCGAGCAGAGGCGCAACAGCGGCCCGCCCGCCCCCGCCGCGCTGCCGCTGGGCCGAGGTGAGCCCGTCCACAGGCCTCGGGTGGGCTTCCACCTGCTGGCACGCAGCCTGACTCCCGTCTACTTTGTTTACATTTGCTTAGCACCGCCAGCCATGCCCAACACTGCATTCAATGGTTGAGTCGGTTCCAGCTAGATTAACCTGCTTTCTGGGCCTACTTAGAAGCATTGCTGTTGAGTCGAGACTGACTCATGTTGACCTCGTAGGCGGCAAAGTAGAAATACGACTGATTTCTCAGCAGTAGACACCAGACTTTTCTTTCTAAATGCCTCTGAGTGGTCTGGAACTTCCAACTTTTCCGTTAGGAACCGCGCGCTTTACCTGTTTGCACCACTCAGGGACACCTGGCTCTCCCTAGATCTTACACTGTAATATACCCTTTGCAATCCCAGCGAGCCTTTGCCTTGGGTTCTCCATCCTGATAGATCCTCTCTCCCATGTCCCTTCTTTCTGCTCCATCCTCCCTAAACCCACTGCCTTCAAGAGTCTCCTAGTGGAAAGCAATTCCCCAGCTGATGCAGAGCCAGGACCTTCAGAGAGAGTGATGGCATGTCTGGATCTGAGTAGTGTGAATCTGGGGCTCTGAGGTGGTGGCCTTGGCCCTGGTCTGAGGGAGGCAACTCTGGACCCAACCACTGCTCTGTACATTAATGTCTGCGTTGTTTCTGGTGAGGGGTGGATGGAGCGCTTAACCATCCTTGTGGGGATTTGTTTGAAATCCAGCATCACCATCCTACCATGGCTAAGCATCTAGCAGTACTTCAGTCTAAAGTAGAATCCTTCCATTCTGTCTTCGCTGTCCTCATTATACCTGTAGTTTGGTTACTGAACACCTGGCCTGGAGGGATGTCTGTGGGACACTAAGTAAGTTGTCCACTCCCAGGGCTAGTCAGGTGAATCAGTGAGTCCCCCTAGGCTACCTTCCAACAGGTGGTTCTTTGCCCTTAGGTCTGAATGGTTTTCTGTCTGTTCACTTAAACACAACTTGCCTGGTTGGGACTACCAGCCCCTCCCACCCCAGGTCTCACGCTGGGCTCCAGGCCTTTGGACTGTATCTGCTGACGTTAGAAACTGTCACAGAGGTGAGGGAAGAGGTCAGGAGCTGGTTCCTAGGGCAGTACTGGATTCAGAGGCTGGACTCAGAGAGTTGCCTGTTTCTCCCACACACTCAGGCTCCCAGCCCTGCATGTCTGGCTGGCTTTTTGCCAAGGCAGCTCTTCTCTCCGCGAATAGTAGAGTAGGATGCCCGGAGGCCCTTCCTGGTTGTCCTGTCCCAAGGCCCACCGCTGGGCAAGTGGTTATCTCCCAGCACAGGTCTCTCAGTGGTTCCCACTCCCATCAGCACCTCTAACATAGGGTAGAGAGGGTGTGGTGAATGTTTCCCACGTCCTCTTCAGCAGCCAAGAGTGTAGGGGAGGAGATGCGCCATGTGGCAGCTGACCCATTAAACATGGAACACGGCTTAGGTGTCCACATTTCTCTCTGGTCCCGGTAGGTCTGGCCTCAGCTCCCCACAGGACCCCACTTCTGGGCTTCCAAAGAGCCAGTGGGCAAGAACTTCTCCATTCATTCTTCATCCCAGCAGGGTCCCTGGAACTTGACTTTGCCTTGATAGTCAGCTACTCATGTGAGCATGGGGGGTCCTTAAGAGCTAAAGGACTGCATGCTTGTAGGTGCTCACGGGGTAGTGAACACCACCGTGGTAGAAGCACCTGTCCCAGTTGGTCCCAGCTTTTTCTGCTGTCCCCTGCAGCTCCACACTGCCTAGAAACCGCCTCTGCCCACGGGTGTTGGTGGTTCCTGGGAGCAGCTGCCCACGGCTGGGGTGGCATAGGTGAGGGTTATCACTCTGCTGCCGTGATTACAACTGGTGGTGCCTCTTGCTGGGAGTGAGGAACGGGCCAGGACACGCTTGGGGCCAAGATGTGGTTGTTTCTGTTTAACCCTGTGTGGGAGGCAGATGGCCAAGTTCTGAAACCTGTCCTAGGGACTGCAGCCTAGGTGAAGTTAGGGATGTGGAGGGAAAAAACCTAGTGAAGCCACTAACTTTCTCCCTCCAGATGGGCAGTGAAGACACTATTCCCTCTAGAGTTAGGGTCAGTTCTTGACAATGGCTCCAAACTCTGGTTCTAACTTCCTGCCCTTGAAGCACAGAGGGAGGCAGTCCTGGGCAAGTAATTCCTGTTAGGTAGCTCTTCTGCCCAGTTGGGCTCTTCTAGAAAGGAGCAAATAGAGAGGGATTAATAATTAGTTAGTAGCCAAAAGGTGTTTTGAATGAAAAGAAAAAAAACACAAACATAAATCAAATAAACAAAAAACCTTCCTAGCCCCTCCTCCTCCCACAATCTCCATACAAAGGTTTTTCAATTTAAGAAAGTAATTATGGCAGTTAAGGGTAATTAGCCAGTCCTCTACAGGGCCAGCAAGCAGTCAGGTGCTTCCCTATAATTCGCTGACTTGATTCTGCAGGAGCTGCCCCCAGAATACTCTCGTCTTGTGATAGATACTCAGTCAGCAGCCATTGATTGACAGGGTCAGCCTTCAGTGATGCTATCTTGTTGACTTTTGGTGATGGTGGAAATGTACTGTGCTGTCCCATAGAGTAGCCCCTGAGCACATGTGGCTCTTTAGCACTCGAAATGTGCCGGGTATAACAGAGCTCTGGTGGTGTAGTCAGCAGGGAGATGGGCTGCCAACCCAAAGGCCACACCTCTCTAGTGGTTCAAATCCATCAGCAGCTTTGCTCTGTGGGGGTAACGATAGACAATCTCCTCTCATGCGATTTAGAGCCTCAGAAAACCCAATGGAGTGTTAGCTCTGAGTTGGTTCTGATTTAACAGCAATGAGAATTAGCATGACTTAACCCCAACCTAACTCATTGTTGTCAAATTGAATCCTGCCCCAGACTGACTCCATGGGACAGAGTAGGACTGCCCTCTGGGGCTTCCAAGGCTACACTCTTTGTAGAAGCAGTTTGCCGCCTCTTTCTCCTGAGGCTTTGCTGGGGGGTTCAGACTTCTGACCTTTTGATTCACATCTGAGTGCTGCTTAATCATTGCACCACCAGGTTTCTTATAGTTGAGAGGTGGAATGTTTCAGATGTTAACTTTTAAGTTAATCACATGCGGGTGGTAGCTGCCACATTGGACAGCTTAGAGAATGACTTCTGTAGTTACCCCTCAGCCTGAGTGTCCTCCTATGAGAGAGTCCCAGTGGACCCAGAGCCATGGGTGGCTGAGATAGGGCAGGGTGGGGCCTTGGGGCCAGCTCCCAAGTCCCCTCGGCTATCTCTGGAAGACCTGAGACTGTGAGAAGCCCTCAGGAGCCACTTGTGCTTGGCTTGCTAACAGATATGCCCACTTACTCCTAGCCTCCTTAAAGACAGTGTCCCCAGATGCCTGTCTTTTGGTACCCCCTTGTTGGCTTATAAAACTGTTTGTTCTTATGAAGATTAGAGATGATAGGAATGATATCTTTCTTCCCTGACCATGTATTAGACACACATGACTCTTACATAGGCCCTGTTACTGGGCCATGTTAGAAACAGTTCCACAAGGTCTATAGCTTGATATCTGCAAAAATAAAAATCCACTCTCTGGATTCTGTAAAAGGCCAGAGGCAGGGAACTAGTATCCAAGGAGAGGATGTCTCCTCATCTGAATCTCACAGCAAAAGAGTCGAGCATAGCCTAACTGGTCACTGGGTTGGATGGAATCAGGCCCAGTTCCATGTGCAGTGTGCCTTACAAGATGTACAAACAGCTTTGGGAAAGTCTTTATCTCATTAAAGATGTAGAGCAGGGATTGGCAAAGCTTTCTGTAAAGGGCCAGAGAGTAAATGACTCAGACTTGTGAGCTAGAAAATCTCTGGTGCAATTTCTAAATGCTATGGAAAATTAGCGAGCTCTGGTGATGTAGTCTTGAGGGAGTTGCAGATCTGCGAATCCAAAGGCCATGTCTCTCGGGCAGTTTGATTCCACCAGCAACTCGAGGGGCAGTAAGTAGCCTCCCATGTGATTTACAGCCTCAGAAACCCACCAGAAGGTCAGCTATGAGTTAGTTCCGATTTGATAGCGTGACTTGAGTGTATGACAAGGGGGAGCTTTGATGGGTAGTTTGTAGAGTGTTGCACTGCTAACTCCAAGGCCAGAACTCTCTGGCAGTTTAAATCTACCAGAAGCTTCAAGGGAGAAAGATGAGCAATCTCTTGTGTGATTTACAGCCTTAGAAACCTGCTGGAGGGTCACTATGAGTTGGTTCCTATTTGATGGCAGTGAAAGAGATGTGAAAATTATAGTGTGAAAGCAACTAGGCATGGTGAAAACAAGCGATAGCTGTGTTATAACAAAAGTTTATAAAAACAGCTGGTGAATTGGATTTGGTCTATAGATCATAGTTTGCTAATCCCTATGTAGAGGATTCCAGGGTAACTGGATTTACTTTTCGTGGAATTTTCTGGGTAGATTTTAACAGGAGATCCAGTAAAGGGTATTGGTTAAGAACACAAACCTGGTAGTCATACTTTCTCGGTGTAAATTCTAACTCTATCACTTTTTGATTGGCGTAGGCCAAATTACTTAACTCCTCCGAGCCTTAATTTCCTCAGCTGTTATGTGGAGGTGATAATACCCAATAAAATTAATCAGCTCCAGCTGAGTGGGTTCTGAATCATGATGACCTTGTCCAGGGTAGAGAAGAAATGCTTCACAAGATTTTTTTTAGATTTCCAGATCTTTCTCTGCAGTGCCCCTGGGTGATTTACACAGCCCACTTTGAGTTATTAGTGAATTGCTTAACTGTTTGCACTACCCACCAAACCCGTTGTCATCTGGTCAGTTCTGACACATAAGGACCCTCCATTGGATTTCTGAGGTGGTAAATCTGTATGGGAGGAGATGGCCTACCTCTCCCCCCCGCCCAGGAACTACTGATGGATTCAAACTTATGACCTTTTGGTTTACAGGCTGATAGGTTATGCACTACCCCGCTAGAACTCCTTATGTCACAGGGGTATTCATTTTCCTCATCTTTGCTTTCATAGTTGATATGCTCAGTTAGTGTCATGGGGTGAGGATCAGGCCTGGGATGCTCGGTGTTGCTGGCTGCCCATGTCTATGAAGTAGTCCTTCACCTACTTTTCTTCTCTCCCCTGTGACTTTCTCAGAACTCAGTGTCTCCAATGACAGTTCCCTGTCGGACGGGCTGCTGCTGGAAGAAGGTGAGTGGGGCTGTCTGGGGCTTATTGGCAGGACCGGGCACCTTCCGCCAGGTCTTGGCCGGACTTAACTTCTGAGACTTTGGATGGGGATAGATGAGTTAGCAGTCAGAGAAGTGACGAAGGCAGGTAGGTCCAGCGGTCATGTTCACAGCTTAGAGCCGAAGTTGAGTTCTGTGAGCTGTTTGATGTCCTCAGTTGAGGGTGGGGAATATGCTGGTGACAAGATAGGTTAAGGCTCAGGGTGATAAAACCAAACAATGCGAGATTCAAATCCACCAGCTGTTGGATGGGCAGTTCTACTCTGTCCTCTAGGGTTGCTGTGAGTCAGAATCAACACAGTGACAGTAGGTTTCCTATTTTAGAAGTGAAAATAGCTTTGATGTCAGAGAATGATGAATTCTGGTAGAACCCATGAGCACCAGATGTTCCTGCCTTCACCCTGGTGCCTCCACCCAGAGGCTTTGTTTGAAGATGTCCTGGTCAGAGCTAAAAAGTGAGCTGGCCAGGGTGACTGCCCTCCAGAGGCTAGCTATGTGAAAAGAGGGTGGCATTAGGGGAGGAAACACAAGTCCAGAGATTAAAAACAAGTTTGTAAATGCTGAAATGAGCCAAGAAGGTGGCTAAGTGTGTCTGTGGGAGTGCCAGGTCAATAAGGAAATAGGGCACCTGGGCATGGCTGGAACAATAAAAATGAGTAATCAGAATGCTCACTGTAGATGTGACAGCAGAGGCCGAGGTTACAGGGGAGCCAAGCAAGCCAAGAAGGGGCAGTCTGGGGAGGCTTCTTGAAGGAAGCAGCCTTAAATAAGTAGCAGTGTGAGGAGAAAGCCCCAACAGAGAAGAAACAGTTTTTGAGTATGTGGAGCAGTGGGGAGAGTCAGTTGTGGGAAGGAGGACCAGATCCAAGCTGCTAGGTTCCTGCTGGGCCGGTTCCCCCACCCACTGTCCTCACCAGATTTCTTTTACTCTTGCAGAGGAATCCCAAGTGTCAAAACCACCCCAAGCGGCTTCGGCCTCTTCTTCCCGGCCGCCCCCACCCCAAAGTCTTGAGGGGCTGCAGACAGGAGGACCTGAGACTGAGGGCCTGGATCGAGCACCCATCCAGAACAGCCCCTGGAAGGAGACCAGTCTGGACCACCCCTACGAGAAGTCCAGGAAGACTTCTGAGCCCAGTAGCGAGTCTAGGTCAGTGCTGGGGGATGGGGTGGGGGGGCTAGGAGTGGAGGATAGTGTTGGGGACAGGGTGGAGGGAGTGGAGGATAGTGTTGGGGACAGGGTGGAGGTGGGATGGGATGGAGAGCTGAGCGATGGATAAGGGAGAGAGGCAGGAGAAACCAGTCCTCTTCTCTGATGTATGATGGTGGGTGTGTGAACTTGGTAGCTCTCCAAGAATGCTGGCACTTTGCACCACTAATTTGGGGCCTCTTTTCACTGTGCCCGCATTTTCTCTGCCTATCTGCCTCTGACCTGTCCCCACTCTCTGCAGCAGCCCTGCCAGCACACCGCAAGATGGGCCTAACACATCCGCCCTGTGGCTGCCAGAGCCACCCGTCTTCCATCTGGTTCCCGTCCGCGGCGTCCCTGGTCAGCGGCAGGGCCGCACCAGTGCCCCGGCCACTCCCGAGATGCAGGGCAGGAGGGGCCAGTCACAGTCTCTGAGGTAAGAGATGGCCACCTTGGAGATGTGGAGTTAGAGGGAGGGCCCAGGATCCAAAGCTTACTGCTGGAAGGTGGTGGGCAGGATGAAGAACAGGTGGGACTTCCCAACACCATGGCTTTACCTTACTTAGAATGCTTTCTCAGAGCATCTCTGAATAAATAAAATGGCAAAGGCAAGTTGTTGGTGAAGCAAGCCATTTTCTTCTAGAGACCCCAGTTTGTTTTGTGTGATTTGATTCAAGTGTCCTAACCTTGTCATGATCACTTATACTCATAGATAGGTGTACAAGTCTTTTATTATGGACCATTCACTCTTTCAATTGATAGGCCAATATACATACCATGTGACTGGCTGAGTAACTTAGTCACTCTGTGCAGGCACCCTGGCACCATCAGGGCATCTCTAGGGTCATCTGTCAGCTTAAATGCACTTGTCATTCTTCACTGGACTGAACAGAGTTTTATATTTGCATGCCAGGCCCACCTTGATAGCACTGTGCCTTTGTACAGATTAAAAAAGGACTCCCCCTTTGGGCAAACACGGCCCATGACAGGTGGGTTCACAGACTATGGCGGTTTTAAGGTTCTTGGAGAGTCACTCCGGTGTGCAGCTGCCCTGTGTATTGCATACAGCCTTTATGTGGTCATGTCTACCTGAATAGATTCTGTCCATGAAATTCCACTGAACATATGTTGTTAGGTGCTGTTGAGTATGACCCATAGTGACCCTATGAACAACAGATCTAAACCCTGTCCTATCCTGTGCCATCTTCACACTTCCTGACACACTAGACCCCACTGTGGCAGTCACTGCGTCAGTCCACCTAGTTGGGGGTCTTAGTCTCCTTCACTGACCCTCTACCTTTCCAAGCGTCATGTTCCTCTCCAAGGAATAACCTCTTGCGATATGCTGCAAGTATGTGAGGTAAAGCTTTATCACCTTTTCCTTTAAGGGGCACTCTGGCTGCACCCTTTCCAAGACACATTTATTTGTTCTTTTGGCAATCCCTGGGATGTTTACTACTTTTGTCCAACAACACAGTTCAAAGGCATTGATTCTTCTTCTGATAACTGGACATATAATGTACCTAAAGTGGCTAGAATGACATGACATTTATTTAGCCTGCAGAGAAAATCAGCTGTCAGAGACCTCTCCAGAGTACTGAAGAGCAACAACATCAGGCTGAAGACTAAGGTGTGCCTGATCCGGGCTATAGTCTTTGCAATTGCGTGCTATGCATCAGAGAGCTGGACAGTGACTAGGGATGATAGAAAGAGAATTGATGCCTTTGAGCTGTGGTGCTAGAGAAGAACGTTGAATATACCATGGACTGCTAGGAGAACAAACAGGTCTGTCCTGGAGAGGGTGCAGCTGTGCTTCTCCTTGGAGGCAAGGATTCGGAAGCTCTGTCTGACATACTTTGGGCCTCTTGCAAGGAGGTACCAGTCCTTGGAGAGGGACATCATGCTTGGGAGAGTGGAGGGACAGTGCAGGAGGGGAAGATCCTTGATGATAGATTGATTCAGTGATTGGGGCAGTGGGAGCAGGTGTGTCAGAGACAATGAGGTTGCCACAAAATAGAGCACGGTTTAGAGCTGTTGTACATAGGGTCGCTATGAGTCGCAAACGACTCAACGGCACATAACAACAACAACAGTATCCAAATGATTATGTGAGTGAAACAGTGATACTTGAGGCTGTCTGTACCAATTGTTGAGTTGACTCTGACTCTAGCAGCTATAGTGTCAGAGAAGTGTGCTCCATAGGATTTTGAGTGTGTGTGTGTGTGTGTGTGTGTGTGTGTGTACCGTCAAATTGAATCTGACTGATACAGGAGGCGATTGTTCCTCCTTCTTCAGCAGAGCATCTGGTGGATTTGAACCGTGCACCTCTGGGAGCTCCGTAAGATTTCTAATGGCTGGCTTTTTTAAAATGGATTGCCAGGCCTTTCTTCCAATATACCTCTAGGTAGACTCAAACCTCCACCCTTTCAATTAGCAAACACTCTGCATTACCCAGACTCCTTGCAGTGTTGGGGTGTGTGGAATCTCTACATTGGGCCTAAAGGTTATTTGGGGGAATATTTGCCTGAAGGTTTATCCATGTGTGCAGTGTGGTGGTCTCCTCTTGCCTCACGTGCTTAATGGCATCCCCTCCAAGCACTGCGTGTTGTCTCCCTGACTCAGAGTCTCTCTTGCCCCCTCAGGGTGGATTCCTTCCGCTCCGGGCTGGAGGGCCGAGGCCGCAGCGCCTTTCCCCGCCGCCGCCCCACTCACTACACGGTGACTGTCCCTGACTCCTGCTTCCCCGCCGCCAAGCCCCCTCTGCTGCCCTCTGCCTACCACTCCTGCTCCGAAGACAGTGGCTCCGACATCTCCAGCATCTCGCACCCCACCTCACCCGGCAGCAGCAGCCCTGACATCTCCTTCCTGCGGCCTCTTTCCTCACCTGAGCCCCTTCGCCACCGTGGGGCCTGGGGACCACCTGGCGGAAGAGAGCTGGTCACTCACTACCCCCAGCTACTGTTGCCCCCGGGCTACTTCCCTGTGGCACCAGGGCGCTATGTGATGGTGGCAGAGAGCCCCCAGCCACCTGTCAATTGGGAGCTGTGCCCTGCGGCTTATGCAGAAGAGGGGGCACCCTTGCGCTACCAGCGCCTGGTGCCCACCCACAGCCGCATCGTGCGCACGCCCTCCCTGAAGGACAACCCTGCAGGCCGGGGACTCAGCAAGGCGGCCGTTTCCGAGGAGCTCAGATGCTGGCATGAGCGCGCACGCCAGCGGAGCACTCGCCCGCATTCACTGGACCGGCAAGGGGCCTTCCGAGTCCGGAGCCTGCCCCCAGGAAGAGAGGTCTTCCCGCGAACCCCCGGACAACGGGCACAGGTAGAGCTGCTCTGGAGACACACCCGGGTGTGGGAGGGCCTGGGCTAGTTGTTGGGAGGGCTGTGATTCCAGCAGGTCCAGGGTTAGCGAGATGCAATGCCTGCAGCCTCATGGCCGGGTAATCCCCAGTTTGGAGGAACAGGCGAAAAATCATTTCCTCTTGGCTTTGGGAGGCTCTCTGACTCCCCGAGGCGCCTCTTAATTTTGCTTGCTGTGTCTAGCCCTGAGCACATCCGTGTATGCTGCTAGAGATGATCCTTGCAGATAGCTGAGATATTTTTCCTTCTCATGGCTCCCCAGATAATCCACAAAGCCGATAAACCTCTGCCTGTAGTCTGGAGCCCAATCCAAATTTAGTATCTCAAACTAACTCCCAGATTTTCGGAATGTTTGAGGGCTCAAACTAAAGTGAGAGAGGGTGGAAATGACAGAAAGGGGACCCGAGAATGCTGACTTCCTCCAAGGTGATATGCCCCCACCTTGAAAAGCAAGTTGCAAAATGACCAATTGCACAAGCCCTCAAATCCCAGTCCTATGACATACAAGCTGTATGATTATGCAACTTTCCCTGAGCCTCTGTTTACCTTTCTATAAAACAGGCCAATAAAATGCAGGCAGACTTTGGAGATACTGCACATTACCTTCCAGAACACAGCTGTAAAGTGAATAGTGCAATAAAGCAAGGCACACACTTTTTTTTTTTTTTAGTTTCCCTATGCATAGAAAATTTGTACTTACGTTAGACTCTATTCACTGTGCAATTTGCATTCTGGAAAAGTTTGGAATATTGTGAGAATTACCAGAATGTGCCACAGGGACAGGAAGTGAGCATGTGCTGTTGGAAAATGGCACTGATAGAGTTCTTTTGCTTGACACAGGATTGCCACAAGCCTTCACTTTAAAAAAACAAAAGTAAACCATCCACCCATAGTATCAGCCGGAGGGAGCTCTGGTAGCCTATTGGTACAAGGCTGTGCTGCAATCCTAAAGGCATGCCGTTCGAATCCTGCTTCGCAGGAGAATGATGGATGATCTCCTCCTGTGTGATTTACAGCCTTTGAAAACCTGCTAGAGGGTTGGTTCCAACTCAGCAGCTTATAACAGCAACACTATAGTATGTGCAAAGAGCATTATATATGCCTGTGCCTATCTCATAGGGCTTCTGATAGGTTTAAGTGAGTTAATGCTTGGAGCAGTGCCAGTGCTGGATAAGCAATGTTCTCATCATCCAGGGCCCCAGAAGCCAGGCTCTGGGCTGGTGGGTAGCAGAGAGGAAGCGTACCCTGATGTGAAGGGCAGCCACCTGGGTTTCTGTGTGCCCAGTTTTCTTCATTCGGGAAGAAGACTTAAGACCCATGAATCCTCTCTTTATTCTTTCTCCCTGGTACGGAGGGTTCTGCAAAGGACGTGCTCCAGAAGTTACCAACAGGCTGCTCCTTTGAGACCCAGTAATCCCAGCAGGTCTAGCCAGCTGCGCATTTCTCCCCCCTCCCACCAGGTCTTGGATATGTAGCTGGTATCCTGGGCCTGACAGCAAGCCTGGCCCCGGTCCCAGACTGCACCCTCCAGCTGACATGCTTTCCCTTCATTCCAGCTTAGACCTGCCCTTGGCCCAGGCCCAGCACCTTCCAGCCTGCCAAACAGGGAGGGTGACGAGAAGAGAGTTCAGCAAAGGGGGTGAAGGACAAGGTCAGGATGCTTGCCACACCCTAAAGGAACATGGAGTGAAAGAAGGAGAAAGGGCGATCTCTGGTTGGGAGGGCAGAGGCTGAGGTTGGAGCTGGTGCTGGTGCGGAACAGCCGCCTAAAGGAACTGGAAGCTGGTGCCACGCTGGTCTGGACCTTGCCCTGGTTCGCTCACTCCTCTTTTCTTTTCTTTCTTCCTGGCCTGGCAGGTGCCCGCCGTGTGTGTGCTCCGGAGATCTCCTGAGGGGGTCCCTATGCAAGTCTTCCTACCTGAGAATGGAGAGATCATCAGCCAGGTGTAACAAGACCAGCGGCACCCTGTGCCTTGAATGCCTGAACCCTACTGTTGAAAAAGACTCTTTTAAGGGCCGGCTGAGTCCCGCCCTGGAGAATTGCCCTTCAGCTCCCCAGCCCCCGTCGCAGGCCGATGACCTGGAGCTGAAGCTGTTTATTTTATTATTTTTTTTTCTTTTTAGTTTTGGTCTGGCAGCCCCAAGGATTTATATATATTTTGTACTACAATCACTGTCATATGATTGTATTCCTCCCCGCTAGCGACCAACCAGCCTGTGAGGCTCCAGGCTTTGCCTGTCTGGATACCAGCATTCGTGTTGTTATGTAAGACAAGTGGCAGGGGAGGGGCTTGAGGGCTAGCATGGAGTCCTGCAAACCTTCTGTGGCAAGGTTCGAAGAACTTCCCTGGGAAGCAGCCCCTGGCTCTCTTGTCCTGCTGCTGTTGAAGGCTGGACATGGCATGTGCTTATGCACAGGACTTTCCCTGTTTCCCAGATCCCTGGGTACCTTATGGATTTTCACTCCAGCCTGAGCTGGGGGATAATCTCCCCTTTTATAATGTGCTCTATGATGCACACATCAAGTGGTAGGTTACCAAGGTCAGTATGTCCTGGGATATTTTCTTCCTGGACTTGCCTATTTTCCAATGCATAAATCTTTTGGGTCTTCAATCACTGTGCCTCCTTTATCACCCCGTACACACACAGAGCCAGATATAAATCGTAGCACCCAGGGACCAAGCTGAGGGTCAGCCTGTGGAGCTGGGGGGTCAGCTGGTGAAGAGCAACCCAGACTTTAACCACCACCATCTCCAGATAGCACATGAACTTGGAATCTCATGATAACCTAACAATTTTTCATCAATGTCTTTGAACCCAATCATACCAAACCTTATCAATGTTTTTGGAACTGCAAATTTTTGTGGCATTTTTTTTGAGAGGCTTCTACATACTCCCCACACCCCACTACCTCCCACCCCCAGCTATCCTTCTACTTCACATATAGAAAGAAGGAATATATTTATGCAAATATGGAAATACCTTTGAGTATTAGTACTAGTACTAATTAGTATTAGTACCCTGAGTACTAGTGAGGTGTTGGTTTTTCTTGTTAGGTTCTGTCAAGTCAGCTCCAACTCAAAGCCGCGTTCTGGACAACCAGAAGGAAACCCTGCCTAATCGTGCATTGTCCTTACATTCTCTGTTATGAACGTCCACTGTGTCAACCCAGTGATTTTTCTTGGTGGATATTTATTGTCTAAGCCTGGAAACGACCTGTTTTATGACCCCCTGATAGTGCCCGGATTCTAGGGCCTTCCTTGGTAGCAGGTCAGCTTCCTAGGTGGAGATCTTGCGTCCAGGGGGAAGCAACTGTTCAGAGGCTAGATTAGGACCAGAGGAGCCGAGTTCTAGCAGTGCCCTGTGCAAACCTCTCTTCCTTCTGGGGTCCCAAGGGCCTTTTGGACAGAGCCTGTGATTTAAGGCACTAAGATCTTTGATGCCTGTCCCAAATGAGGCCCAGCTCTTCCAAATGGAGAGAAAGTAGATTTGCACAAGGGCGCTGAGTGAGGTCAAGGTGACAAGGCAGGAGATAGAGGATAAAAAGAGTTGGAGGGGAAGCACCTGGCATTTTTTCTCACCATGCTCTTACCACATCCTGTACCTCCCCCACCCCTTTTGGGGTCACCCCTGTTACCCATTGTATTCTCATGCCCTGCTTTTTGGAAGCTGTTTAGTTTGTCTCTCAGCCTCCTTCTCTAATGTATAACCTTCCTCACCATCCTCTCCTGGTGCCCAGAGCTCTTTGGGTTGAGGAACCACCCCCCACCCCAGCTGAGGGTCCTTTATGCTAACTTGTTGGTCCTATCTGACACCCGGTACAGTTGCAAAGTGCCTGTGTACTCAGCTGCAGGCCCAGCACTGTGTGGATTTTCCTGCCAAGTAGTTCAATAAAGGCTGTTCTTTGTGATTGATTTGCTGAGCTGTTGATGACGGAATGTTATGGTGCCAAGTTTCCTGAGCAGAGGGCTTGCCCAGCGCCCCAGGTGCGTGGCCAAGGTGGGGAGTCGCCCGGCCTCTCCAGCTGTGGGGCTTCATCCCTGCAGAGTGCAGATGGGGGTCTGGAAGGAGGTTCTTTTGCTTCTCTGCCAGGATGGAAGCAAGTTCCTCCCTTGTCAGGTCTCCACGCCTGAGGAGCTGGGGGCAGAGGCCATTTCTTCAACAGGGACCTTTTGCCTTTCCATTTAAAAGGGCAAATGTGCATTGTGTGTGTGAAAGAGAGGGGAAAAAAACCCAAAACATACACAGGCAAAGCATATGCCAATTCTACAGGGCCTACATATACAAGTCAATGACGTCGATCACGTTCTTAAAGTTGTGGAACCATTTTTGCTACCTTTTCCAAATTATTCCAGCACTATGAGATACACCCACTGGAGGTCTGGCTTCTGCTGGGCCAGGCAAGAGGGCAGTTAGAGGTGGGATGTGGTTTGAGGGTCTACAGGCTCCCTCCATGAAAAAACTGGAGGCTTTCTTAAGAAACAGCCCCTTCCCCAAAGGTGGAACACAGCACTGGAGGGTGTGGGGTTCTCCCCAAGGCCTCTCCTTCCACGGGGTGTTGGGGCTGGGGGTGTAGGGTGTGTTCCTCAGGACTTGGGGGTGAGAGTTCCAGTTCAGCTCTCTACTGAGCCTGCCCTATGGGGGTCGCTGGGGGGTCAGGAGAAACAGCGCCCCCTAGAACCACAGTGCACAGCAAGAGCCTGTGGCCGCCTGGATCTGTGAGGTAGAGGGCCCCTCCCCATCTGTCCCCCTCCACAGCCAAGGAAAGGGCAGGGCGAGGGGGCCCAGGGACAGACCCACAGGCAGGGGTGACTCCAGTCCTGCCCTGCACTCTGGGACCTGGGGATGGTAGGAACCTGTAGGCTTCAGGGGCCTGGCTCTCTTAAGCCTGGTATGACCTGTTCTAGGGGAGTGAGTGGGCTTCAGTGATCTCTGGAGAGGCTGTGGATGTCCTCATCTCAGATTCCAAACTTTGCACTTGAAGACAGGGAGTATCTTTACCTTACCCATGAGTTGTGGGGGATGAGGGGATAGTTTCATGTTTGAGGCCCAGCAAGTCTTGAACCCGCACATTCCCAGGGGGTGACCTGTCTGGGGAGACAGCTCCCCGACAACAGATAAATGAAGACCAACTGTAAAGAAGCCTTCCATGCTGAGGCAGGACTGTGTGAGAGCACGCGCGTGGGGGTGGGGGGCGCATGCTCTGGAGTGTGTGTGTGTGTGTGTGTGTGTGTGTGTGTGTACATTGTGACTCTGTAGTGGGATGTGCCTGCTTGGGGACGTGAAGCAGAGGAAGAACCTGGTCTACAGGCTTCCCTGTGCAGTGTTTGGGAGGGGCAGACATTGGGGGTTCTTAGCTAGCTAGATAGGGTGTGAGTGGGTACTATGAATTGGGAAATGAGAATCTAAGCCGGAAAGTGGGAGCTTTAGAATGTTAGCGGTGAGACCCAAGAGGCAGAGGGCTGGATCCTGACTTGGAGAACCCACCACTGAGTCCGAGGTCTCTAAATGAAAGACTCCTAGACAAACGAAGGGGACAGGGCTCTTTAGAAGGTCTTGTGCATCAACTGGGAAATGGGAAGGAAACAGAGGCTGGCGGTGGGACCCTGCACCCCCAAGTTCAGCTGAGCCAATTACTTTTCTTGAAAATGACTAGAGTTGGCCTCTGACAGCTTCACCGTCTACTGATCAGGAACATTCTTCCTCCCTGATTGTGCAGATGAATCTGTACCCCAGCAAGCAAAAACCCAATGGAGAAACCTTGAAGCGAAAGACTTCCCTTGTCTCTTGGAAGATGAACACAATGGGTGAGCAGTTGGTCCTGGATAGGGCTGTCTCTTACGTCAGTGCTGCAGTGTGGAGATGGTGGCTGTGGACTGCTCTGGCTGAGATGACAATCCATGGGCAGAGTCCACTCACTTCTGGCTGCCCTTTCGTAGCTCTGGTCTCTGCATTCTGTAACTTTCAGACTTGTCTCCTCAAGAAGCAGGTCAAATATAGGATATTGCCTGAGGCTCTGCATTAAACCTTACTGAGCTGACAACTTTTAGGGTGTCAGGGCAGATCTGTAGATAGCAACAGCTTATCTCTGTTCTATAGGATGACTTTGAGTTAGAATTGACGTGGCAATGGGTAGATGCTGCAACAACTCCCAAACTGTTACCTGGATTCCAGACTCCAATACTGGATTTCCATGTTCTCAAATCTACTGCTATCTCCCAGTGGGTGTCACAAATTTAACATGTTCAAACCCAAATCTGATAGGCAACATCATGATTGATGGAGAAAAGATTGAAACTGTCAACAACTTCACCTTACCTAGATTCACAATCAGTACATTTGGCACCAGCAGTCAGATCAGGAGACATATTGTACTAGGGAAGTCTGAGGTCAGATACCTCTCCAAATTACAGAGGAGCAATGATGTTAGTTTGAGGACTAAGGTGCACCTGATTCAGACCACTTCAGTCATTTGCTATGCATCTGAGAGCTGGATAATGAATAAGAATGACAGAAGAAAAATTGATACCTTTGAATTGTGATGTCAGAGGACAGTACTAAATATCCCATGGACAAACAGACTTGTCTTGGAGAAGGTAAAGCCAGAGTTCTCGTTGGAGACAAGGATGGCAAAGCTTCATCTCATACTCTTTGGCCATATTGCTAGGAGAGGCTATTCCTTGGAGAAGAATATCACACTTGGAAAGGTGGAGGCCTGGTGAAAGAGAGGAAGACCCTCAAGCAGGTGAATGGGCACAGTTATTGCAGCAACAGGCTTGAATATTTCAGAGATTGTGAGGTCGGCACAGGATAGGACAGAGTTCAGGTGTGTTGTTCATAGGGTCACTCTGGGTTGTACATGCATCAACAGTACCTAACAACAACAAAGCCAAATCCTGCTTTTACTCTCATTCCAACCTTGCTTCTGTCAGAAGCCCCTCCTTCTCAGT